GGACCCCGGGATCACCACCTGAGCCAAAGACAGATGCTCAACCACGGAGCTACCCAGGTGCTGCTCCTTGTAAGTTTAATTAGGATTCTCGTTATACTAGATGAATAGCTTGATACATGTGTATAGAGATAATTGTGACAATTAATAATTATAAGCAGAACTACTAAAATGAAACAGTCTTTAAGAATGTGTATATGTTAATTGTACCAAGAAATTTAAAGAAATCTGTTAATTAAAGAGATACTTAATGGTGAAGTATTGGTATACTTTGGTTTGTGAATAAAGTGTACTAACATTTGTAAATTAAAAAAAGAGGATTTAACTACTTAGTGGTAGCTTACTCTTTAAAGAAATCCTATGATAAATGCTCTTATAAAATATAGAATCATGGGGGGTACCTGGGTGGCTCAGTTGGTTAAGTATCTGCCTTCTACTCAGGTCATGATCCCAGAGTCCCAGGATCAAGCCCCATGTCATTGGGCTCCCTGCTCAGTGGGGAGCCAGCTTTTCCCTTTCTGTGGGACCCCCACCCCTGTGCTCTCTGTCTCATATTCCCTCATACACCCGCTCTCTCTCTCTCAAATAAATAAAATCTTAAAAATATATGTATATATATATATATATATATATATATATATATATATAAATTTAATTTTCTGTGATTTAGAAGATTATATTATGTGAGATTTAGGTGTGTCTTTAGTGGTCCCTGGATATGGGATCCCTGGGTGGCTCAGCGGTTTAGCACCTGCCTTCAGCTCAGGGCGTGATCCTGGAGTCCCAGGATGGAGTCCCACGTCGGGCTCCCGACATGGAGCCTGCTTCTCCCTCTGCCTGTGTCTCTGCCTCTGTGTGTGTGTGTGTGTGTGTGTGTGTGTGTGTGTGTGTGTGTGTGTCTCATGGATAAATAAATAAAATCTTTAAAAAAAAAAAATGGTCCCTGGATATCCACTGCTACATAAGAGATTCCTCTAAAAAATTCAAGGTATTTAGGAATTTTAATATTTTTAAATAGCTCCAAACTAGTTAATGTGTACATGTTGTTGAAAATATAGCTCCAACTATACCATGTGATTTTAAAATACTATCTCCCCTAAAAAACCCTTCTGCTAATTTTGAATACTACTAACTGTGGTGAACTTTATCCATTGTCTACCATGTACTGTACTGGGCTCCACAGATGGAGGTACATACAGTACCAAATAAATGGTACTTTCCACTCAAAGGGGCTTAAATTAGTTGAGGGGAATGTCCAGAGAAAGAGAGAGAGAATATGAAAAAAAGTTAAGGAAATTGTTCCATAAGATGTTTGAACAGAAAGATATGCAAAATATATGTCCATAGCCATGACTAGAAGTTAAAAAAAAAAAAAAAAAGGCTCCTAATCTGATAGTGAAAATTCCCATGTAGGCCCAAGCCATATCCCATGCCCTTTAGGCCCTTATGTGGGTCTTTCTTTCTGGGAAAATCCACGTTTGGGAAAAACCAATAATCTAGGATTCTTTTTCTACTTGGTCACAAAAGGTACAAATGATGATAGATTCTATAATACATTTTTCCAATTGGCCTGGGATTTGAGTGTCATTTCTTTCCGTTATTGATTCTGAGAGACTAATAGTGTTTTGTTTATTCCATATAGATATTTATAACGACTAAAAAAAATACAGATACCACACACAACCAAGTCTATTTGCTAACACTAGAACATTTCACACATAACCTAAGTAGGCATCTGAACGTGGTGCCATAATACTAATGTTGAAAGCCATACCACTCATTTAACTATCAATGTCTTAGTCATTGTGGACTCTTCCCTCATTCCCCCATATCCCAGCAGTTATCCATCCCTGCCCAGTCTTCCGCAATTCACACATAAAACCCACAGATGGATTTTTCTTAAAATGAAAAATGAAATTCTAGCCATAGTTAGAAATATTTAGTCATTTAATCCAACATCCCTTTTGACTTATTATATTTAATGATTCATTCATTTTGCTCAGCAAGGACCTATAACTCCGTGTCAGGCATTAGGCTAGCAATTCAGGGGTAACAAGCTAGGCTACTGAGTTTATATCTACTGAAGCACACATTATCAGAGAATCCCACAAACACATGTAAAAGTGCAATTTTGAAAGAGTGAAATCTTGCCATTTGCAACAATGTGGATGGAACTAGAGGGTATTATGCTAAGCAAAATAAGTCAGTCAAAGAAAGACAAATACCATATGATTTCACTCATGTGGAATTTAAGAAACAAAACAGATGAATATGGAGGAAGGGAAGAAAAATAAAATAAGATAAAAACAGAGAGAGGCAAATCATAAGACTCAACTATAGGAAACAGTCTTGCTGGAAGGGAGGTTGGGTCGGGGGGTGATGTAATTGGGTGATGGGCATTAAGGAGGGCACATGATGTAATGAGCACAGGTGTTATATGCAACCAATCAATCACTAAATTCTCCTGAAACTGATAATAAGTCACTGTATGTTAACTAAATGGAATTTAAAAAAATTAAGTACAATTTTGACAAGTTATGTGAAGGAAAGGTTATGGGAGTACCTATACTGGAAGAATAGCTATCCATGGAGAATAGCACTCACAAATGCTCTGGTAGGCAGGAAGAACTGAGGAGGCCAATCTGTTGAGAGAGCAGAAAATGAGGGATAAAAGGTGTGAACTGAAGCCAAAACACATAGGTTTTTGCAGCCACTGTTAAGGGCTTTCTTCCTAATCCTAAATGCAGCAAAGAAGACATTGAAAAGTTGTGAGGAAAAGGAATGACATGATCATATGTATGCTTTCGTAAGACCACTCTGGCTGCGTTTTGGAGAGGGCATGGGACAGGGAGCCAGAGTGGACATGGGACATCCCTTGAGAGGCTTTGTGATCATCCAAGAGAGGGCTGATGGTCACCTGACTGCAGTACTGATGGAAGAGGTGGAGAGAAGTAGGCATGGGTTGGCTGTGGAGAAGGTTGAGAGAGAAGTCAAGGATGACACCCAGATCCTAACTCTTCAAACTCAGTGGATTGTGTGGTGCCAGTCACTGGACCACATTTTCCATTTGAAGCATCTTTGAGACATCAAAGAACTGAGCAAAAAAGCCACTGGATACAAGGAGTGGAGCTCAGAAGAGAGGAGTAGGCCAGAAATAGAAAGTAGGGAGTTCTCTGGTATCTGAATCCACTTTACAACAGCCAGAATAGCTTCCCAGACTTCTGCTTGGACACCTTCAAAATGACAGAAAATTCTCCACCACCATGAGCAGACATGGTTAGTTAAAGAAAGATGTTCCTTATGTTAGACTATACACTTGAAGTAAATTGTTACCACTTCTGATTCTGCCCTTTGAACAAATGAAATCTCTCTTCTATCTAACAAGGCTTCAGAATTTGAAGAAAACTGGAATGGTGTATCTCCTCACTGCTTTGCCAGCCAGCCACCCACCTTAGATCTTCTGTCTATCAAACATTCTTTCAGATCCTGTCAGCAGTCTAGCCCGTTTCTTCAGCCTCATCTATTGAAAACATAAAACCAGATCTAGAAAACACCCATTTACCCACACAAAGTAGTACTTCCCCTCAGATCTAAACACTTGGAGCTTCCCAAGCGTGGTGTGTTTTCACAAACTTTTGTGCCTTTTCTCATGCCATTGCAGAGGAGTGGTTTTTAACTCCACCATAAGTAAAGTTACAGCTCTGCAGAAGAGGCTAAAAAGACCACCTAGCTAACTAGGCTCTTAGCAATGTGTAACCCAAACCCATCTTCCTAGCTAAACTGGCAATTTCATTGTTCCTCAAGCATACTCGACCAGTTCACTCTTCCATGTCTTTATTTAGATACTCTCTTCTGTCTAGGGCACCTTTCATCTTTTATTCTTGAAATCTTATCAGTCATTCAAAATCCATTCAAGAGGTCACTTACTCTTTTTTTTCCCCATCATTATAAGTGTACTCTTTAATCCCCATCCCCTATTTCACCCATACCCCAACCTACCTCCCCTCTGCCAACCATCAGTTCTCCAGAGTGAAGAGTCTGTTTCTTGGTTGTCCCTTCCTTCCCCCCCCCACTTCAGTCATTTGTTTTGCTTCTTTGATTCCACATATGAGTGAGATCAAACAGTATTTGTCCCTCACTGACTTATTTCACTTAGCATTATACTCTCTAGCTCCATGTTGTTGCAAATGGCAAGATTTCATTTTTTTTTATGGTTGAATAATATCCCATTGTATGTATACACCACATCTTCTTTATCTGTTCATCTGTCAGTGAACACTTAGGCTGCTTCTGTAGTTTGGCTATTATAAATAATGCTGCAATAAACATAGAGATACAGGTATCCCTTCAAATTAGTATTTTTGCATTTGGGGGGGGGGTAAATACCCAGGAATGTGATTACTGGTTTGCAGGGTAATTCTGTTTTAACGTTTATGAGGAACAAGAGATCATTTGTTCTTCATTTCCACTGGTCTGCTCTATGTTACCTGTTTACTTGTACTGTCACCTCCCTTGAAAGCAAGAGATAGGTCTTATCTATTTTGTGTCACTCACAACCTCTGGGAAATTCTCGAGAGTGCTCAAATATTTGTTCAATTGAGTTAGTTTTATTTATTTCCTTAAAGAAAAAATAAGATGTATTTTTAGTAGCTTGCTTTCTTTTCTCTTCTCTCTCTGACTTTCTCTTTCTCTCTCTCTCTCTCTCTCTCTCTCTCTCTCTCTGAGGTAAAATATTTGTGGTAGTGATTCTCAAACATAAGAGCCATTTGGGGGAACTTATCAAACTCATATATTTCTGCCACTTCTCCCCATGATTCTAATTCTACAGATCTGGGAGATCTGATGTTGGGCTCAAGTATCTGCATTTTTTTATAAGTACCCTGTAGTAGGAAGGGGGGATTCAGATCATATGACACCTGGGTTGTACTTTCAGAAACATTGCAGCAGGGTATTTGTCATTATGCCTATTAATGGATTATTATTACCTTCTTTGAACAAAACAGATCAGTTCATTAACAGGGGAACAGGTAGTACGCGGAACAGCAAACACCAAGATGTTTGTCATATCGCTTTCGGATCCAGAGTTCTGGGACCACCTCCACTCTCTGGCAGGAGGAATAACATGAGGATATCCAGTGAGGTAGGAGCGAGGTTTGAAGAGCTTGTCTAAGCATGAGGAGCATGGGAAGAGAAGGGTTTTTTCCCCAGTGCATGAGTGGCTGGGGAAAGAGGGAGAGAGATGACATGCCAAAAACAGAAGGCTTGAATAAATTTGGAACAGAGATTCTGGATTTTAAAAGACCCCAAAACTGTTTTATTTTTGTCATGTCAACACAATTAACATTTCTGAGTATTCTTTTGATTAAATATGTTCACAAAACTTAAAGGCAAATATATGTGAGCACATTTTGTGGTCTTCTTCAAAAAGGATTTGGATCATCACCAGATACCTTATAAGGAACAGATTATCAAATGTTACATTTTTATTTTTAATTTCCTATGAATTTCTAACACTAGTGACTTTCAGTAAAACTCTTACCTAGTAAAGATGGAGTGTAGCAAATAAGCACATTTTAATTTATGTGTCTGGAAGACTTGTTTGTCTCCTATTTTGTCTCACATATTTCTCCTTCCATTTCTCGCTGACTTTCTGCTGTGATTTCCCTCTCTATCCTTCCCTTTCTAACCTTTTCATTCCCTCTAGTTTGTTTCTCACTTTTTATTTGTCCAAATATTATTAGTCTCTATAAATTCTATAGAAAATAAGTGCAACTCCCATATTTTAAAATGTGCAGATTAATTCCTCTCCCTTACAGACAATAAGATCCGTTGGATCCAGAAATACTCGATCATGCCAACAGTCTGTGGCCGATAACTGTGCTAGCAGTACAGAGATGGCAGCCTCACTGAGGCCTCAGTTTGAAGAGCAAGCAGATAAAGAAAATATTTGCCAAATAAAGCAAACTGTACCTGTTCATGGTAAGAATCATGCATAAAGTTTTGATAACCAGGGGAAAATAGAAATGTTCTTGCAAAGATAAATTTGAAGTTATATTCTTGACTATATCTTAACATCCAGAGAATTATCATTCAGAAATGAAAAAGATGGCAGATATTGAAATATGTTTCAGGTTCTTATACATATATTCTATTCTGAAACCTATCATTCTGTCTCTTATTTTAAAATTCTTTCTTCCTTCCTTCCTTTTTTTTCTTTCTTTCTTCCTTTCTTTCAAGTGGGCTTCAAGGGGCTCAAACTCATGACCCTGAGATCAAGACCTGAGCTCAGATCAAGAGACACATCCTTAACCTACTGAGCCACCCAGTCATCCCACCCATTATTCTCTTTATTCCATTATTTCAAATCACCATAGTACCCTGTGTTTTTATTTTATGATGACTGGTAAGGAAATAACATAGCATTCTATTATCACTACATTTTGGGAACTCCACATGTATTTTAAGTTTTCTTTTTTTTTTTAATATTTTATTTAGTTATTCATGAGAGACACGGGGGAGGGGGGGATGTGGGGGCAGAGACACAGGCAGAGGGAGAAGCAGGCTCCATGCAGGTAGCCTGATGTGGGACTTGATCCCAGGTCTCCAGGATCAGGCCCTGGGCTGAAGGCGACACTAAACCGCTGAGCCACCAGGGCTGCCCCATTTTAAGTTTTCTTAATTTTATCTTTTAGTTAATCTCTTCCATTTGTAAAGTGCTTTTTATTTTCTCCCACTGATGCAAAAAGAACCCTGTTGATGAAGAACAGACTCTTGTCCCATTTTATAGATTGAGAGTTCATAGCTAGCAGAGAGGTAAAGTGATTTGCAATTTGTAATCTTTGGAAGGAATTGAGACCAGGACCAAAGGCTTACCACTCGCTGTAGTTTTTCCATTCTTGCATGTCTGACTTTTGTTAGAGTTGAAAAAGAAGGCATTTGGGTTTATTTTATTTGATTTGGAGATTAATGATCACTTTTGCAGATTATATTTTCCGTAGAGTACAAAACTGAGAAAAGGAAATAGATACCATAGATATTCAGTCCTGGCTCTACCACTGTGTGTAAGACCTTGATCAAAATTCCTAAACCTTGCGGGTCTCAGTTTCCTCATCTGTAAAATGGGGATAAAATTACTACTGGAACTAGTAGTAATAAACCATGACTACCTCTCAAAGGGTCATTGTGAGGATTCAACAAAAAAAGCCAGTCAGGCACATCATATTGTGCCAAGAAATTAAGCATTCAGTAAATATTAGATGCTGCTATAAATGCTGTTGTTATGATGATGATTATTACACAGTTAAGTTAAACGTAAGAATTCTTTTTCAGGTTTGATCGCAGTTCTCCAGGGCTCTTTTGAAAACTACTTTTAAGCTGTTGATGAATCATTCTTTTCTACTTCTTTCAAAGGAAGAAATTATTTTTCTGTATTAGCTATCAACTTCATTTTTTATGCTTTTTAATATAGCATGTTGTATGATAAACAACCAAATTACCTGTAGCTCTCTGTAAGGTTGTATTACATGAAGAAAATGCCTCAGTAATTTTGAAAGCCTGATACAATCCCAATAGTGGAATAGGAATAAATACCTATTTTCCATGAAGGAATAAATTGTGGTTTTGATACAGCTTTATATGATGTCACAATGATACATGAACATTATAGCTACAATTATATTTATTGAGTCGTTTCAAACCATATAGCACTTTCTGTTCTGGCTTTTTGTTCTTTGATATGAAAATGTACCAGCTGATCTGCATGTTATGCATCCACATCCCCCTCAAGAACCATCAGCAGATAAGAATAATAACAGGAGAAGATTACGGTTAAAAAGCACCAGCAGAGAAAGGACAGAAGCACACAGCGGTACGGCACTAATTCAATACTATCTTATATCTGTATATTATTCAGAGCAATGGAATCTCTCTCTGCAGGTTGTAAATTTCAAAGGATTACGAACCAATTCATTTAAAATATAAATGTCTTTTCTACAGGGATTATGGAAATCAAATTTTCTGCAAAAGAATTGCTCTAGAGCCCTCACAGAGATTTGCTGGATTAAATAGACAGTACCACAGAAGTAAAGGACTTCCTACTTCTACTCTCAAAAGCTGAATAAGCTTAAATTATTGTTTTTTAGAAATGGCCCAAATTTGATAGAGGAAGTTTCTGCCTGCAGTCTTTACTAAAATTGAACTTAACTCATAATTTTTCATGTTTCATTTATATCTCTTCTTTTTAAATTGGGCCTTTTTCAGATATATATATTTTTTACATTTGCTTTCTCTCCCTTTGGACTTCATGCCATCCAATAGAATGTAGGTTAAAACTTCAACTCTTTGTAACCAATAAAGCATTAGATAAATATAAGTGGCTGTTATAATTACCCCTTTGAATATTGGATATGAGGCATGTAAATCTTGTCTGCACATGCATTAGTGTATCCTGAGTCAAGTCCAGAGTATATCTTGTATGCATCTGTTAGCATAATTTCTCAAAATTTTAGATGGGCTGAAATTCAGCTTCTTAGGATTCATGTTATTTTTATAAAATAGTATATAGAAAAGTTAATTCTGTGTCCGTTTTCCTACGATGTTGAAGGAAAGCACTTGGTTTAAAAAAGTCAGGTTGTATAAGAATTGTACTTTAAAGAAAACACACTCCATTTTATGTGGAACCAAAGAGAAAAATATAGGACTCTTTAAAAATAATGAGTTTTGGAATTCCTTTTATTACATATTGTAAAACTTAAATCTAAAATGCTCCCATGCAAATATCAAGGAATTTAAAGATGAACCTCTACAAAAATGCAGCTGAGTTCATCTTTGAAACATTCTAGTGGAAAAGAAAAGAACTGCAGATAATCTGTATTGTCACCTCTAACATGCTTTTCAATAATCATTTAGAAAAGCAAACCACATTTATAGCATTCTTTGAAATGAACTTTTATAAAAATTAAAAGAGATAACTTCATGGAAAATATTTATTCTAATAAAGGCAGTTCTTCAGGAAATAGAAGGAATGAAGATAAAGCAACAGCTGCCCTGTTGAACAGCGGGTCCCAACAAAGCACGGAGATGAATTCCAGCTCTCCAGCACCGCCGTCTCCTGATCAAACAGGTTGGCATCTTTAGTCCACCATAATCATTAATAACTAATGAAATATCCATATGTTTAGCATTTCAAACCTGGTCATTTTGAGAAGTTGTGATTTGCTAAAATCTATCATTTTTCGTTAAATCTACTCTTAACCCCAACTGCCTGTCTGACTTTAATGGAAAAGGACACTTTTATTTCCAAGTTTCAATGCACCAGTTGTTGTGTTCAGAAGGAAAGTTTGAAACTTTGAAGTTTTCACAGGACATTGTCACTGTCCCCAAAGATTGCCTGTTGTTGCAAGTCTAGAGTCCTCTTTATAATGGAGGTGGTTGGAGTGTAGAGCATTGAACCCATCAACATATCTTGCCTAGCAGGTGTGTGTACTTTTACAAAGGCGAATTGTTTTTGAGCAAGGGAAAAGGGAAAATAAATGAAAATTGTTTGTAGTTTGTCAGTCTTATTTATGCAATGTTGAAACCTTCATTAAAATGTTAGGCGCAATTAGTGTCTCTAGCATAAATCTGACTGTGTAGAAAAACTAATTAGATGTTTAGGTGATCATTCTTGCATTTATCTTGTTTGCTGCAATATTGTGATTACACAGTAATTTACATATTTTCCTAAGAAAACACACCAAATTATTCATTACAATTGATATGGAAATACTTGAGGTAAAACTACAAATTCCAAAAAAGCATGTGGTGTTGAGATAATTAGAGTTCATTTGGTGTAGAAACACTCCTTTTACTTTGACTTTTTGACAGTTAATAATATGGTTGGCAGTAGGTCATGCAAGTTGTTGAATTGCGTAATGAAGATTCCCAGTATCTGTGCCTCCAGTTTTCTTCTACATATCCATGTACGTAATGCAACACATTGGTTTTTATCATCCTTTTCAAAATTTATTTATTAATAAAGCATCTACTGTGTTTACAAAGCATCTACTACGTGGTTAGCACCATGCAAAAGGATTTGCTCTCCAAAAGAGGACAGCCCAGTGAATCTGTTTATTTCACCTGCTCACTGTATACTGACCTGACCTCCACATCACCTTTGAAGGTGGTCCAATGAAGTAGATTCAGCCTGCTGTTAGCCACTAACCTACTGAAAATGTTAAAGCCTTGTCCCTTACAGATTTTCTCTAAAGAAATGTACATCTGCTACCCTTTTTATAGGCAAGTCATATAACGATAGTCTTAAGAAATGAATACATTATGATGAATATGATTTTATTTGTACCATTAATGTCTTAATTTGTACCATTAAGATCTTTTTGTTTGTTGCTTTTGTACTGTAGGCTTTAGAGTTTCAAATCAACAAATCTTAGATATCTCTTGGTTACTGTTCCTGTGAAGATAAATATAGCAGGATTCAAGAGTCAGGGTAAAATTACCATGTCCATGGTTTGGTTCTGCTGAACACAGATTTTTATTAAGATCTTCACCATTGACATAATGCAGCAAAAACAGTAAATTTGAAGGAAAATAGACTAAGTTGAGAAAATGCAACTTTCTCCTGCTGTCATTTTAAAGAAGAAAGTAAACATGCTTTTAATGATACTCATTATAAGTATTTGTCTGTTACAATTTGTCTGGATCGCAGTTATAAAAATCTATCTCAATGTTACATAAAAGATTAAAATTTATTTTTAAAGATTTTATTTATTTACTCATGAGAGACAAAGAGAAAAGGGCAGAGATATAGGCAGAGAGAGAAGCATGCTCCATGCAGGGAGCCCGACGTGAGACTCGATTCTGGGACCCCAGGATCACACCCTGAGCCAAAGGCAGACGCTCAACCGCTGAGCCACCTAGGCATCCCAAAAGATTAAAATCTTTTCACTATGTTGTACACCTGAAACTTATGTAACATTGTGTACCAACTATATCTCAAAAAAAAATTTAAACTTTAAAATTTTTAAAAGTTTTAATTAATATGTGTCCTAGTGGTAGTATACAGTATTTTTAACTGAAACAAATAATGATGCACAAAAGATTTTTGAATCAAAACATTCTCTCCTATAATTTAACATACAGATCTTTTTCACCAGTTACATTAGCAAGTATTTCTGTGGATTTTATTACTGGAAAAGTCTACTCAGTTTAGTCTATGAATTGTCCTGTTTCAGTCTGTAGAATGGAAAGGAAAAGCCTCTTAACTTTTCATGGTTGCCTCTCCTCCATGATTTGTAATCCAAACAATGCCCAAATTTTTATTTAAAAAAAATTGTTAAATATTCTGTCCTCCTGCAGTTGAAAGAAGATATTAGTAACTCAAACCCGTTTAAATTTGGAAGATTTCCTCCCCACCTGGAATGTCAAATTAATGAGACTGTGCTATAAAGAATTTGCTACAAGATAGGTGATAATGATTTCAGACTTATAAATTTCCTGGCCAGTGTTTCAACTCCAATGGAGAGGAAGTGCAAATGAGATGCCTGTAGCTATAGGCACTGATCTATAGGTTAAATGTTTAGCAGGTCACAAGATGGTGGATAAATTGCATTCCTTGGCTTCTGCATTATTTGATAAATCTGTTTCAACACAGAAATTTTAACCTGACTACCTGCTTTAATGTGACACTGATGGAACACTCTTCTAATTTTTGTCATCTTTCCCAAATGTCAGATGAGTGGATATTTCCTGAAAACCATGATCGTATTTCCCATTTGGCGTCCAGGAGACAGTCTCTCCTTCCAGATGATGACTCCTGCCACACTTCACACCTGTGGCTAGAAGCCAACAGGGAAAGTGAACATGGCCAACTGGCAGAGGAAACTCAGGTTGTTCGAAAGGACATTTTCACTTTTTCATCAAGACCACGGTCAGCACCTCATGGAAAAACTCAGAATATGTCCCCAGAGGGATGCCCATTTATTTTGGATCTAAAAGAGGATATCAGCATGACAAGAAGAGACACTGAATCAGAGGATGACTTTTATGGCGGTGACAGCAGCGAAGAGGTACACTGCTTGATGAGTGAAGTCGTTTTAAGCACAGTTGTTCCATTAGCTCTGATAAGCATGAAAACCAGTTGAAATGAAAGAGGGGAAATCAACTGCTATTTATAAAAGTGCAGCAGATTGCAGTGTCAGTCAACAGTTGCCTCAGGTTGTTATGGTAACTCTAAATTGCTGCCTTTTTTATTAACAGTCAGCCAATTTCAATTTTAATTATGGAAACCAGTTTTGGGGTTGTTTTTGTTTTTTTTTTATTTTAATTTTTGTCTCACAGCATGAGAAATAACATGCACTTTAGTTATATGATGGTGAGACCAGTAAAACATTAAGAACACATTGTTCTGGCTCTCTGGGGAAATTGTGCTGCAGTGGCTAAGCCTTCTGAATTGACGGTTTTCTGGCTTCCTTACTCCCCTGCCATCTCTCCACCTTAGACCTATTAGGACTCATTATTTTCCATATGGTCCCAGAATTTCAAGAGTTGTGCCAATTAAAGTTTAGATAAAGAATCATGGATTAGTGCTAGGATTTGCCTTACCCAAGGTTTTCGGTTTGTAATTATTTAGAATACAAATATATCTTATAAATTAGTAAATTCACATAAAGTTTAAAAAAGACTTGTTATAAACCAAACATAAAGTAGTTCTGAAACATTTGTTTAAAGCTTAATACATTATGATGACTTTTTTCTCCATATGAAATGAATTAATATTTGTGAAATTCCTTCAGCTTTGTTCAATGATAAGCATCCATATTTCCTGTGAAAAATAATTATCTCAAAAGCAGATTACAGTCAAGTTATGTTTTCATTAAGTTACATAAATCATTTCTATGTCAAAATTATATATAACTTTGTTATATGTTAAAATATACATTATATATTTATAAATATAGCAAGTTATATATTAGGTTATATGTATAATATATTATGTAATAATAATTAGAAAAACTGTATATGCTTACAAACATTTTTTTAAGAATTATGATTGATCAAGGATCCCCCTTTGGACTGCAGGATGTAGATTATTGCTCCTACCTTCAGAGCCAGTTGAGAATATGATGAAATTGTTCAGGCAGTAATTACGGGGTTTTGCAACTTTTAATAAGTTTCCATTGCAAAGTACATGGGGAAATCCTTTTTTTATAATATCCTTGCTTCTGAGCATGGTGAAACTATTAGTCATACCAAACATAAACCTACTGTAAATCCCTTAATGCTTGAATAGTACACATGATGCCAACATTTTAAATGTTCTGGATATCTTTGTCCCTTTCACCCTGAATAACATTAAGATATAAAAACTAAAATAGACATTCACCCTCAGCGTCTTGTACTGCCCCCATCCCAGTTATCAATTCTTTTACAGTATTAATTGACTAATCTGATAAAATAATCTGTACTTTTTCATTAATGGGATAGCCCATCCCCTTCCCATAAGCACAGCACCATCTTTCTTATCTAAACCAAAAGAATTCCTGTAATGGTGGAAATTTCAAGGCAGATGGGACATGTTAGTTCCTTCCCTGGAAAACTTTGAGAGAAGTTTTGTGGAAAACTGCCCTTTAAATATCATGACATGGGGAACTTACTTCTGTCTACAAGAACAATAAGCAATAGAACAGGAAGCAATAGAACTTCATGAGAAAAGGAACAATACTAGTTCTGAATATTTTATTTTGTTATCATTTGATGTGCTTTCTTTTGCTACTAGCTACTACACATCTGACATCCTTCATCATTTATTATTGCAAACATAAACTAATTACCAATTACATGAAATTGAAAATAAATGTATCATGCATCACCCAAGCTCTGAGTGGCATAGCTATCTGGTCACCCCCATGCCACAACCATCAGAATGACTAGTAGCATTTGGCTAGAGTCTATATCAGGACCATCTCATTGCTAATACCTGTCCTGACCCACCTTTAGTTGGAGCTGGCTAAGAATGGCTGCCGGATAGGAGGGCAGAAGCCTCACCATAATGTACAAGCTTGTATACTTGGTAGAGGCAATAACAAGATACAAACTATAAAATAGAAAACATGACAAACAAAATTGCTGGGTTATATTTAAACAAGTTCTATAATCTATGGTGACCAAATTTGTTTGTTTGGGGGTTTTTTGGTAATTTCTTTTCCTTAGGATTACTTCTCCAATTGATTAAGTATGTAAGTCATTGGGAAATTGGATTAGATATTTAAAATGTTTATTTACATATAGTCTTTGAAGAAAAATCAGTTTAGTTAATTTAGGCATCCTTACTATTCGTTGTATTATTTTAGAATGTTATATCCTTAAGGTAACATAATTATACTTGAGGAAAACAATGTCATGTCATAAATGATGGTGGATGAATGAGGCTAATTACATTACATACTATGTTTGAAGTTTATAACTTGTAGTTAAAGACCTATTTGATGGTAGACCATTGAGTATTTTTAAAGGGAAATTCTATATATTCAGTAGCATGTAAACTAAGTAAAATCAAATCATGTTACCATGGTAGAGGAAAAGTATACATACAATAGTAAAAGCTAATTAAAATGAACTTTCGGTAATATTGATTTTGTAATTTAAGTTTCTAATCATTAATTCACATCTGCAATCTTCATCAGTGCAGAGCCTCAAAAGTATGAATTTTCTTTTTTTGCATATACTCTGGTCTTAGTCTTTGCTTTACTGTATATTTTATTCCCCAGACAGCCATGTATACTAATATTCCTGATACTCAATTAATTTTGAGTTTGTAGTTCGTATTTGAAAAGCACACTATGGAAATAGATAGCTATAAAATCAAGACTACCATGTAAAATGAATTACCCTAGAAAAGCTATTAAAACAGAGTGCCTTTCCCACTATTGCAGCATCTAAAAGAAAAAAAAAAAGCCTGTTTCTATTATCATCTCTATTTTGTATTTTATGCCATTATTTCCAGTGTGGCTTTGAGTATACACCTGGTTTACAACTTGAAATAGTTAGCTTTATATTAATATTTTATTACTTCCCTAATTTAATTTTTCATCTAGAAATACTGTCATTTTTTTCCCCAAAACTCTGGCTGTGTATCACATACTAAAGTAGATACTTGCAAGGCCAGGTAATTTGTCCTGTATCACAATCTAAATTGGAACATTAAGCCAAAAAATTATCCCTAGTTGGAGATGATTTATGTGGACCAAGTACTTAGAGCATTCAAATTAGCTAGGAAGCTTCCAGGTCTTTTCCCCATCTAGCTCCAGAGAGGGCTGTGGCAGACGAATTTACCAACAACAGAGTAAAAGGACCCTTTTGGTCCTCCTCCTCAGCTTTCCCCATATTGTTGCTTTGAAGGTATTTTTTGGTCCTCAGAGTTAAACTGTTTCATGGCATTTTTTTTTTCTTCATAGTTTATATTTCTGGTTTTAGTCTATAAACCACTCATCCTTGTGTAATTGATTAATGAATTTGAATTACATTCTCACATGTACATAAACATAATAGAATATTTACTACTCTTGAGCCTGTTTATATTTCTGTGTAACCTTTTAAAACTTTTAAATGTTGATATCTGTGTTGGGAAAAAAATGTAAGGACTATTTTGAATATGTTGCCTTGCATTTTTGTTCCTGTATATTATGGATTACAACATAACATATTCTCTAAACCCACCAGGCAAATTTAATATTTACTGTGTGTGAGAAATTTTTTAAAGCCGTTCACAACTCTAGGTCTTTATTACTCTCTTATAAAGCTCTGTTCCTCTCTGCAATAGTCACAGGCTCCATGGTTCTTATGACTTGGCTCTTCATTGTTATAGGCAAGTAACAAAAATTATAAAACTCTTGTCTGCTTAGACTATAATTCTACCACTTTTGCTATTAAACATCATACAGATAAATAGTTTTTTGTACATAGGGGTTTCCAAAAGAAATCTTTAAAATGTTATCAGCTAAAAGAGCATGAAGTCTTAACTTCTAGAAAGATAGGTTATACAATTAATGGAGGCTCATCATTTTCCCCAAATATTCATGTGATGGTGTTTACCCATCCTATAGAGTCCTTCTAACTTCTATTTGTCTATGAAGCATCATTGGCTTTAGGTAAAGATATTTTTAAAAATTTGTCCAACCCCTTTTAATATCAAGCCTACTGCTGGTTAGTTACTTGTTAGAAACAGTAACGTTTTCCTTTCATTACTTTTTTATAAACTAGTCAAATGCATTATAAGATACCACTATCAATTATCTTTTCCATCCAGAGAGAACTGTATTACTTTAAGTTTCCTATAAAATCAAGAGGTGGAAGCAGAACTATTTCTTGGGGATGGTTGTTAGTGAAGCCATTTAAGATATATTTGAGTGGCCAATCTCTTTATCATCAAAGAAGAAATGATTTTTCTCATTCCTTTATGACCAATGTCTTTAGCTATATCTATGCAAATAACTATGCTTTTTAGTTGACAGCAGAAGTATATACCTTATCATCCCTATTGTCTGCTGGTGCCCAGATCCAGCTTCAGGATGCTGCCAATGCGTGCATTTAGTCACTAAAACATTGGACAAGAGTAAAGACTCCTGCTGACTCAGTCTCAATTACAGATTTCAAAACTGTTATCAAAAGTATGTTTGGAATATTTGCAGACATGTGTTTTTACAGAACTTTTAAAAATGTTATACAAGACTTCATTTCACAGTGGACTGAATTAAAAAAATCAATTGAAATATAAATAAATATGATCATCTGCTTTTACAAAGGCTAAATAAAACAGAGCTCTACCCTGACTCGCTCAACATTAAAGTTGTGATACAAAGAGCTTGGGTCCCATCTGCTCCAAGTAGGTGGCCCTCAAGAGTCATTAAAATTATCTTTTTAAAATTATAGCTCAGCAAGAGCAATCCATTTTGTGCATCCAGAAATTATTGTCCAAATGCCCATCTGCATGTCCTTTTAAGAAACGTAGTTCAACAGAGGAAGTCCTGGCTCCTTGGGGAAATCATTCTCATCTTCAGCGTACATATGC